ATGTGTATGTGTGAGAGAACATTTTTCCCCAACCCAGCCACTCTCAGAAAGACAGTCCAGCTGTTGGCTTCTTTCACAGCAAGGGATCAGTCCATATTGCTTTACATTTTCAGTGCTTGTCATGCAAGTCAGAAGGTAGCTTAAAGACTTTGTAAGTTAAAGCTGAGATTCTCCAAAGCCTCCATAGATCATGGGGCTTATGGTTTTCATTGAGTCATAGCTTTGAGACTTTAAAGGCCAGAGAGGAGCATTAGATCATAGTTCTAACTTGTACATTGCGGTTAATTACACTTCAGTCACTTACTCCTGTGCTGAGCTCAGTAATTTCTGTTTGCCTAAAATGTATCTTTTATAAAATGCGTATGTCCTTGATCTGAAGACATCAACCATTGCTTCCCTCACTACTTTATTCCCGTGATTACTTAAACCCCTAGTTATAAATGTATGCATTATTCTAATTTGAACTTTTGTGGCTTCTGTTCACAGGCATTGATCCTTGATATGCTTTTTTTTTTTTTTCCTTTAAGAACAATTATTTACTTCCCAGCACTTTCTTCTCTTGGAAGTACTCATACACCATAATCAAGTCACCTCCCATTCTCCTTTTTGATAAACCAAACAGATGGTGTTCTTTCATCCCTCATTATAAACCTTTCTAGTCCTTGAATCATTTTTGTGGTTCCCTTCTGTACTTTCTCCAATTTGTCTTTTTTTTTTTTTTTTTTTTAAGTGGACAACAGAATTGTACAGAAGAATCCAGTGTCCACTTCACACACACCATACAAAGAATGCAGTCAGTCACCCTTTCACCCTCTCTACTCCTGTTCAATACTCCCCTGTTTATATGCATATGGATTTTACAGCACCTTTTCTGCCACAGCATCACTACAGAAGATCACACTGAGCTTCTTGTCCTCTGCTTCTTAGCTGCTTCCTTACAGTTTCTTGGCCCAAAAGCTTTCCTTACTTAACTTGCCTTATGTCCATAGCACGCTGGACTTATTTGAATAGAGCTGACACAACAGTCAGTTTACTGATTTCCATTTTCCCAGATGTTATTGCATTCAGTATTGCTATGAAGTCCAGCTCCTGCAAGAATGTGATTCTTCAAGAACTTTCCCTTTCTTTTAAAAAAGTGAAAACTTTTTGCTTCAACGCAGTCCTTGATGGACACGAAAGAAACATTACAAAGTATAAGTTTTATAAAATTGAAAAGATAAAATTAATGAAGCTTTATACTTCCAAAATTTATCTATCTTTTTTTTTTATTACAAGGCTGAGGGAATTGTTTGAAAAGTTTAACAAAGGACAATGAAGAAGACTAAAAGCAAATGAAGAAATAAAGGGAAAGCATCAAAATGTATAAAGAGCATAAAACTGGAGGGGAAAAAACAGCTACTCTGGGTTATTTAATATCAGTGTATGTTCACATCTGTGATTTTATTTCTATCTTAACAGACCTTATCCAGATACAACTATAGTAAGAGCAGCTGAACTAAAAATATGCATACGTATCTGAAAATTAGCAGAATACATCTTGAGCAAATAAAGTTGCATGGAAATCTGTATTATGAATGGCTGTGACTGCAGTGCCACATTGATTTTACTCCTGAATAATATCGTACATTAGAGAGATCTATAACATAGCAAAGCTCATGGCTGGATGATTCAGACACTCTTTAAGAGATCAAAAGAGATAAACTGAATGACCAAAAGAAAAAGAAAAAAACAACCTCTTTAAAAAGTCAGTTTCCCTTTTATTAGAAAAAGCTACTTTCACTCAGCTTTCCTATGTACTAAGTTATTTATAAAACTCTGTATTTTATATAAATATTTGTATCTCAGTAGATACAAACAGAAGATGTTTCTTTCCTACAGTTACTAAATAGGTTTCAGGAATTTACTGAAAATACACACAAAACCTGCTGTGATTTCTGTGGGCCAAGGCAATTTTTAAGTTATGCCTAGAAATTCAACTTACACACTGCAGAAAAGGGAACAACAGTCAGAAGGAGGATATTTATCAATAATTGTTGGCTAACTCTGTTCATTTTAGAAAGGTTTAGCTATGGATTCTGCACATTTTTGTATGCCAACCCTATGCCTTGTATGGGAAAGAGACACAGAGAAGTAAGATTTGCATAAAATAATCCCTATAGAAACCAAAACACCGCTTAACTCCTTTATTTGTCTTCCAGGTCTAGAATTCCAAATAAGATGCCAATGTTTTTATGTTTTTGCTACACAAAATTCTATGCAAACAAAACATATTCAAATATATCGCATTTCGAAGTGAATTTTCATTTACCTTAGCACTACTGAGAACTGAGATCTTGATGCTAATAACATACAGTATTTATGTAGAATGGGGTAGAGCAAGCTACAGAGAATGAGGCACATATCTGGAGCAAATTATCAGCAGAGTTTCAGACTGAAACAGTTGTAAATAAACTGAAATTAGAGGTTTCAACTGTGAGTAAAATGTTTTTCAAACAAAACCACAACAGAACTGAATTACACTTTACAGTGAGAAGAATTTGTTGAAGATGTAATTTGACGGTAAGTAGCTGAAATAAGAGGGATCTGATTGTTTTAATGAAGAAATGCTAACAGACAAAACCAAGCATCTCAAGACATCCACCAAATGTGAGCAATAAACAGGCAATAACTGGCTCTGAATGAACAAAAAGCTTCTGGAACAGTGTGAGTGTGCTGTCTCACTTCTGGTAAGCCAGAGTCATAACACTAAACAGAGAACAGGAAGAGCTGAAAGCTTGCTTGCAAGTGGCATGGAAATTTACTCAGATCCATTATGCATGATCTTAAATCTGCAAAACTCTCTTCAAATATATACATATAAAATAAAAGCATGAGGCTATTGCAGTTGATAAGAAAGTGGGTATAAAAATAACTTACTACTCATTCTAGATGCCAACACAGTTGCATTAAAAGTCATGGATTTGAACTGGAGGCATCCCCTCTGCTCATTAGTAAAGTAGGAAACAAGGAAAAAAATGTGCATTTTTTAACATCAAAAGTAATAATTAAACAATCCCTGAGAGAGAAATGAGAAAACTATGAAATGGTGAAGGAACAAGTAGAATCAGAAGAATCCAAGAGTTTGTTTTTGAAGACTTGTACTCTACAGAATGTGCTTATGGAGGAAGAAGAGAAAAGATAGCTGTGATGATTCTGTCATTTACAGCACTCTGAGTACTATGCGTGCTCCCAGGCACATTCAACTTTCCTGCAATGAAATGTGCACAGTTCTGCACTGAGGGAATCACAGCAGTCAAAACTGTGGTGAGATCACTAAGTACAAAAACTGCATATGCAACAAAATTGAAAAAAAACTGCCTGTTCTTGAACAGAACTGTGGTGCAAGGCCAAAGCTCCTCATGCTTTAGGAGTACAGTATTAAGAAGCTCAGAAAAAAAAAAAAAAAAAACAAAAACAAACTAGCAAGAAGTGAGTTTCAGTTGATTAAACAATTATGAACTATACATGACAGCACTTTGCACATACTGGAGCCAAATCATTCTAATATTTTATAGCCCAAAGAATTGCCCCATGGGACATCAAAGTTACTGAGGATGAGGGTGTGAAGATGATCATACGTTTGTTAATTTTGTACTAGTAACAACAATGAAGTAACAACTTAATACACAAAGGATTATGTTAATATTTATGTGTGGTGTCTGAGCACAGCCAGAGTGGACAGTCTGATCCTGGCATTCACATAATAAATGTTCTGCTGTCTTCTCTGACACTCTACCCAACTTAGCACCATGCTGTATGGATACGTGTGGATAAATCATCTGCAGCACTTGAACAGGATGTGTAGACAGGTTTGGTGAATCAGTGACCCAACACCAAGGCAAGAGAACATTATTTCCCTGGAGAGATGACTTTGTAAATGAAAACTTCTAAATGTAAGTAATTTACAAAATCAAATTTTTCTCTTCCTACCATGGAGAGTATCAGCTCTGGGTTTTCATCCAAATTCCAACTTTAAAAGTTGCTTTTCTAACACTAAGAATGTCCACCTATTTCCAAGTTGCCTAGCATATTCTTTTTCTCTTTCTTTTTTTTTTTTTTTTTTTGTGTGTGTGTATGTTTTTGTCTCTGAGACCATATACCTGCAGCTTTGCACAGCAAAAGAATTGCAACTTTCCTGAAACGTCAGCACTGGTGAAAAAACAAAAGAGAGGAAATTGCCACTGGACAAAAACTAAATAGCTACTTAAAACTGCATGGACTCCACAGCACGGAAAGCATTACTTAATGTAGAATACCTTACTTTCTTTACTGCCACAAGCCAAAATCCTGGGTCACAATTTCAAGTTCATACTCATCCTCCATTTGCACACGTAGCCTCACATCGGATAAATATGAACTTGTCACAACTCAGCCTAGAATTATTACTTTCCTTTTTAAATTTTCCGATGGTAGTTTGACCACAGATCACACAAGTACCTTGTAAGAGGTGAGGATGAAGAGGCTGGTGAGCAGTAAGAACAGCCGTCATCTCATCGTGGTCGGAAGGATGTATATACTCATAAATGCTATTACCAGTAAGCTCCACCTGTGAAGAGACACGTAACACATGAGGCAGTGCTACCGCCCATCTTTTCTTTCCTATCCCCAAAACATTCTTCAGTGAGCTGTGTATAATGCATCTAGGTAACTACACACCATTTTTTTAAAGCATGAATTGAATGTATCAAAACCACATTCTGAATTTTACCACTTAAACTGAATTAATTCCTTCTTTAGCAGTGACTAATGGTATAGGGCATTTCTGGGAATTTCTGGTGATGATCTGAACATGTAAGAGCTGCTCATGATAAATAAAGTGATAAACTAGAGCAGCTGTAGAAATGCTAGTTGGCTACAAAATTGAATAAAATCTCTAAACTGTATTAATGTCTCTCAGAAAGACAGATATCCAAAAAACAAAACAAAAAAATTTCACAGGTTCCCAGAAGCTATCACCTGCATTCAGATGGCAACGGAGCCTTCAGAGCCAAACTGTCAGGCTTGCATATTTCTTTTGTATTATTTTTTCCAGTGATCATCCACCACATTCCACGCACAGTAGTACACAGAGCTCAGAACAGTAACCAGCGAATTTAAAAGACAGACTGGACTTCCAAAGATTTTCACAGGCACTGGCTTGAGCCTTTGCTGCCTTAAGTAAACATGCACAGAAAATAGACTAGGAGTTCTTAAATATTTGTATTCCCTCTCCTTGCTCGTACTTTGCTTGAACAGGAATGTATTTCTGTCTTTCACACTGTTGTACCCATAATAACTGTTGCACAAAAAAAATGAGCGGCATGTGCCGTACGTCCTTTTTGCTAACTCTGTTTGCCACGTATAAAACTCACCAACAAAAGTCTCCAGATAGATGCAGTAATTGATTTAAGGAGTGAACCAATACTTTGAGCCTGTGTTTTAAATTAGTGTCAGGCTGCCCAATTGTTCACTGTGGCCTGATGTGCCTTGGGCCCCCAAGATCAGAGACAGCTGAGAGGTGAAGTAGTTTAGCCTATTCTTCTGAGCCAATCCTACTGATTTGCTAAGATGTGTGAGTTGCTTTTTTCTTTGGAATAAATGAAGTTGTCTACCCCACAAAGCAATCTTTTTCCGAAAATGTTTCTCATAGTTCCATTTTCTGCATTATTCATGGAATGTCTCTTCCCAAGACTATGCAAACTAATCTTTTTTTCTAGCCATCTATTCCCCACTTCTCTCCAACAACCCCTCCCTGCAAAAGCAAAAACACCAACACTGACCTTATATTCTAACCAGAGCAATATTGCACTGATTAAGAGGAAAAAGAGAGAGAGAAAGAAAGAGGAAAAAAAAAAAAAAAAAAAAGAAAGAAAAGAAAAGAAGGAGAGAAGAGATGGAAAAAGAGACAGAAAAATAAAAAGAAAGAAGGGGCAGGATGAAGAGAGGAATGGATAAAGAAAGAAGGGGAAGAAAGAGGTCTTCATACCTTTTGATATGAAGACTTTCTTACAAATACAACACCAAACAACCTGACTGACAAAATCAACTGCTGTAATCCAGAAGACCTTATGCTATTACTATAAGTGTAATCATATCCACACTGGCATGTATCTACTCTCTTAGAGGTATAACACATGGATATCTCTTGATTTTCTGAAAGTAACTACCTACTCCAAAAGACCACTCTCAGAAGCACACATTTGTTCACAGGATCCACAGGACTGGGCCTAAAGTCACATTTCTCTCAACAGTGTAATTTGCACCACAGGGCTTATGCTTAAAATTCAAAAACTAAAGCACTTTGTTAAACTAATGACTAGTATTTCTCATTATGCACACAGGAGTATTTTCTGCTCTGATACAGGTATTTGCAAGCCCAGCAAAGTCAGCAGGGGGTGAACACAGAATGCTGAAACCAAAATTCATTGTAAAAATACTAGTGGAAACATAAAGCCGTCAGCAAAGAGACGGGGTGTAAGTAAGAGTCAAATAACCAAAATATGTATACATAATCTTGAAACTGACCACAGTCTCCTGCTACACATAGTATGTGCATACTATTTTAAAGCCTACAATGAAACACTGAAAACTGGGGAAAAAAAGTATATGGTTCAATTCATAAACCTTCTAAAATCCCATGCCTCGGGCTTATTGAACCAACTTCCTTGACGCAGCTTTTTAATATCTGTAAATACCTGCTTACTACCAAATATTGCTGTTTCCTACTAAGAGCTTTTTTATGTGTAACTCAGCTGCACATTTTTTTCCTGCCAAGGAACGATACATGATAAACACAGAGGACTAAGTAGATGGATTCTAGAGCAAATAATTACATATTTTGCCTTTCATATACTGATTTGATGAAAGTAAAATAAACTCCTAGAGAAGTTCAGATATTTGTGGTTAAATATTTCAAGATTTTCAAAAGTCAAAGATAAGCTCAGCTCCCTCGTGGGCCCTGAAAATGGCTGGAATAAGGTCCAGACTTTCAAAACGATTTCCTAAGAGGGTTTTATTCTCCATTCTGTGTCCTTGGACTGCAAAGGGAAGATGTATTTGGGGAATCGGAATCTATTTGTTATCCATGTAAATAAAAAAAGAGGCAAGAAATTGATTCTATCTCAGCTAGAACAAGTCAGTTCAACGATGGTCTGAGGCCAATTGAAATTAGATGAAATTAGAGATCCTAACTATTCGTATTTACAGTATTTACTGTTAGAGTTGAGTGGAAAAGCTGATCGAAATCCAAACCCACAACACTGTTTCTGATTCCCTGACACTGCAAGCAGAATAAGTGAATCTTCATGGTGTTTTTACATTTTTGAACTCTCTTAATTATGTTGGCCAGTGAAGGGTTACTCAGAAGCTCCAAGTTCCTTCTGCTTAAGTTAAACTCAAGATCTACTAGAAGATAAAGGCTGCTGCAGTAGGTATCCAAGAATATCCTGCATAATGTTTTTAAATAGCCTTCTTGCTTAGTTTAAATATATATTTTAAAACAAATTGCACTTTAACTGGAAATTGATGTGTGGAGTAGTTAATTGTCAAATTATTTAATAAAAAGGTCTTTCTATACAAACTCTAGGAGATTTTCTACAATCATCATCACTCTAGTCTCAGCTTGTATTGGCTGGAACTCTATGAGAGCACTTGTTGAAAATATAGAGTGGGATTATGACTTGGTGAGGGAGACCTGCAGAATTTGCTCCAACAGACCAATCTCATTCTTGTTGCTGTTGGTGGCAAAACTCCCAATGATTTCCAGTGAAGTAGGAACAAGAACTCATTTAGAGCCCAGAGAAGAGTACAGAAATATGCCAGTATTAGTGCATTAATATCCTAGTATTTAGGAACAGCCTAGATTTAGTCCTAGTATTGCTTATAATTGTCTCTTGAAAAACAGAGCATTGAGCAATATATTAGATTAGAGGGTAAAACAACATCAGAAAAGTGAGCAAAAATCACTGTCTATATAATTATCCTTTGGATTTATAAATGAAAAGCTGTGTGCTGTTAAACTGCTGGAGTACTCAGTGATTTGATTCCAAAGCATGTCCTTAGGTATCATAACTCTCTGTCCTCTCTGATCTATAGTTTTCTGACGAATTCAAGGATAGAGCCCATTAATTTACTGGGCTAAAGTGAAATACTTGAGATTTTGAGTATTAAATTGAATTAAAAAAACATGTCTGAATCCTCTAGCTTTCCTTGGCAGCTCTTGCAGGAAGGGTTTATAGAGAGATGTGTGAAACACAGGGGGAACACAGTATGTGCAGAGGACCATAAGATCATAAGGGCTAGAGATAATTAAAGCCTTCATGATGCTTTCAGTCCCTTCTCCTTGAGTGTGGCAAAGTTGATCCACCGATCTACTCAACATGCAGGTCTTTAATTTCACCAGATGACTGGATAATATTGAGACCTCCTAGATTTGATGAACTGATATTCCACTAAACAAACAAACAAACAAACAAACAAACAAAGTCTGGACAAAACCTAAATCAGTTAGCACTTATCAAACAGACTATACTCCAGCAAGAGCAGATGGTAACATTCATTCCTTTGGAACAATTGTACTGACTCAATCCTATTTAAGTAGTCAGCAACGTTGTGGACCTTTTCTACATGTTAGCTTCTAATAAGGCTGCTGATTCAGAGAAGAAAATGAGGCCATTTGGAATAAAGTCTATTCTAAAACAAAGTACTATTTGAAGTAATTTGAATGTGTATTAAATGATATGAAACAACAGATACTATATTGTAATAGGCTCAATTGAAAAACTGCTTGAAATATGAATGTTCCCTGGACGCATTTTTAAAGTTGGCAGAAAAAAATGTATCCATGCAAAACACTGATCTTCAAAATTACTTTTTGTAAAGCAGATTAGAAAAACAGTGATCACAGTTCCCTTTGTATTTAGAAATGAGGTTTATGAGACGAAATATTTGCTTTTTCTATCCATCTTTTGAGTTCTGTTTTTTTTTTTTTCTCATAGCTACTAATTCCAATTCCACTATTGTAAACACATCTAGAGAACTTTACCATTTTTCAAACAAAAATATTTATTACTACCAAGATAAAGTATTCATACTCATCCCCTTCTTTGTTCCCCGAATACCTTGCCTGTAACAGAACATCTTTCTCTCTCTCATTTTCATCTCCTTCTTCTTCTTCTCTCTACTATTAATTTTTCACTTAATTTTATTTTAAACTAAGAAGTGTTCCAGCTGCAACCAGTTCTGAAGAAACAGTTCTGTTTCTTGGAAGTCTCATCCGGGGCCCAGTGAAATTAATTAGGAATTTTTCTATTGGACTTCAGCAAGCTTTAGGTCAGGTGCTACCAATGAAACTGTGTAACACATTTATACACAAATGTATGGAAACTTGCACTCCTCAATAAATTCAGGCTGTTTGCCCTTGCGTCTAACCCAAGAAGGCAAAAAATTAGAAATATCCTTCTAACAAAAAAAAAAAACAAAAAACAAAAAAACAATAAAAAACCCTTATACTTCTTGTGCAGAACAGTAGTAAACTGAGTTTTATGAGTTCTATCACAACCATATAAAACGCTTTACTGAAAAGACCACTGAGCTGGAAAAACTCAAGAAAAACTACCTTGAATTCCATGTGAACACTCATAAATCTGCCCCCTTTTCTTTTTTTTTTTTTTTCCTAAAGAACATTTACCATTAAACTCGTGTTCCACATCAGATTTCCTCTCTATTTCATAGCAAGTCTCAATATCTCACACAATCTAAAACATATAGCCTTGAATTCTAAACTTCATTTCAGATGTGTAGCATTACCACACAGTCAAAGAGGCTTGGGTTTCAAGCTCTGCGTATATCTGCAATTTGCAATATCGTATTATTTATTACCCTTCTTAAAGGTAATGAGGAGTAAAATACAATGAACAAGAAAGGATATAAAGACAGTCGTGATGTGGTTGTAAATATAGGAAAACTGAATATTTAAATAGGCCATTTATCAGAAAACAAAGTTGAAGCTTCAAATACCCCTAAAAAATGATGACTTTCTGTATGTATGGCCAGATACTCGTGTTAGATTCCAAATGCAACATCCGTATTTAATAGATGGGCAAAATAAATCAGTCCTACCTGAGATAAGCCAAGATGTACAGACGCTGTTTCTGAGATGTACATTATTTTGCCATCTGAGGCTACCACAAAAACAAAGCCATCCAAAGTCTGTAGAAGAGAAACACATAGGTTAAAAAGAAAGCATCCTGTTTAAACCATTTATGGCAAAGAAGTATTTGAAGTCTTTTGGATTAAGATTGTTATCCAACTTAAAGAGCAGAAAACATCACAGTTCAGAAATAGAGACCTTTGTCTGAAGCTGTTCCTACAAACTCTATGGCATGTGCACACATTGTGAAATCCAATTCATTCCCCCTACAGATGCAAGCTTTACTGCTCACTTTAAGTTAACATTCTCCTGTTGATTCTGGTTATTTTAGTACTTAGCACAAATCCTGAGCTATGTGGTGCTTAGGGGAAAATCTAGTACTACGCAAGCCATTTTTTATGCTGTAATTGGCAGATGCAGATTACCACTATTTGCAATATATTTAATGATATTATAAGCAAAGCTTAAGATTTCTTTGACTATATTTGTATTAATGTATTTCTGAACTTGGGACTGTTTGCTAAGTAACTAGGTTAACTTAGAGAAAAAAAAAAAAGTAATCAAAACAGCATTCAAATATCTCACACCTGAAGAAAGACACTTATGCTCATTAATTTATATGCCCAGAGTTTGGGAATCTCAGCTAATGGTAATATGTTATGCAGATTCTTATCGATGGGAATATTAACTGGATGTTAAATATTACTTATGTGAGGAAAAAACCTGAAGTTTAACTGTGCTGTGTGTCATTTGTGCAAGAAAAAATAACTGGCCAGGATTAGGACATGTGACCTATTGATGCGGGGTGCCTTCAGTCTTGCCCTCGATTCTTCTGTGCACAAAGTTAGACATTTTTTTCTAGAGTATCTGATTCCCCCAGCCAAAAACTATCTACTATCTCCTATCAATTTTGGAAGCCTCGATCAATATACACATGTGAACATTATTGGAAAAGATAAAGTTCTTTTTGCAGCATGTAGGTAAAGCAGACACCAATTTTAATTTATATTTTAAGTTATTGAACCGGAAGGGAAGCAATAAAATCCTGAACTTCATGCTTCTACTCTGCTGCCCCTATAAAAATATATAAATACATATTCCAAATTATTCTCTGGATTATTGACTCCACAGTATGTAATTGAAACCAGATTACTCTTTGCTTTCGCATTTTTTCCTTTTTTAGACCACAAATTTCATAGCAGTATTACAGTGGAAGATAAATTATTGCGTCTTTGACCATCACTTTTCAGCTAAGCACTGTCATCCGGCAATTGATCCACCCAACTGGACCTATGGCTACCTCCCCTCACAGTGCAGCAGGTTTCCCCTACAGAAAAGCACAAGCTGAAACATCCCTGGTTAAGCTTCAGTCTAAGGACCCTTCAAAAAGTCTTCAGCAAATTTGCTGCTGCTGTTAAAGCAGTTGTAATTCACGAATGAGTGAACGGTAAAATGAATATAACAGGCGATGAACAAATATTATTTAACTGGCGGAGGAGCAAGTGCACCAGCCGCGATTTTCGTCCTCGATGACTTTTGCCCTCGATCCTTATCCTTGATAAGGGTTTTAAAGGCAGACCGACGGTTGTGAACCTGCTGCCTGTATTCAGAAATATGTGGGAGCTGCACTTCCAGGCGGCCTCGCACAGCACAGCCGCCCCCTGAGCCTGAGGGGCCGAGGCTGAGCCGGCCGCCCCTCGGAGAGGGGGTTCGAGCCCCTCACAGAGCGCCTGTTGACTTTTTATATCCCCCCCGAGCGCACGGTGAAAACAACGCCGGTTCTATGACCAGAAATTAACCTCCAGCCGTAAAACCGGCCGTTAAACGATTACGGTTTACTACGTCTTTAAAAGCAGGGGGAGGGAAATAAATAAATAAATAAATAAATAAATAAATAAATAAATAAATAAATAAATAAATAAATAATCCTGGCAGTATTAAAGTTCCCATATTAAAAAAAGGAAAAAAAAAAAAAAAAAAAAAAAAGAGCTAAAGGTAATTATTATTATTTTTTTCCTCCGGCTGGCACACACTGCGACTTCTTAAGTTCTCCCACACAGTGAGGATTGAGAAGAACTGCAGCGCGGATCGGCGGGACATGAGCGCTGTGCTTCCAGGTGCTACTGCCAGCAGATAGAACCCAGATGTGCCTCCCGCCCCCGAGGAATGAATCCGCTACCTGAAGCAAGTGGGATCCGAGCTCCTTGGCCATGTTATCCATGGGCCCTATCCTGCTCGGCTGTCCCCAAGCGTCTCCCAGACCTGCGAAGGTGAACGAGGAGATGGTCAGAGCGGGGCGACGAGTCCGGCCGCCCTCCCGCCCGCTGCCGGCCCCGAGCTCCCCGCAGCCCGCCCGCTCTCCCCAAGCAGGGAAGGAAATGGCTCTTTGCGTGTGGAAATGCCGCCAAGGGGACTCCCGCTGCCCCCCGCCCGCCACATCGCGGCCCTCTTGGCCGGGATAAGGCAGCCACACAGCGAGAGAACCTCAGGGAGAGAGCCTGCGGAGAACCGCAGCCCCTCCGGTCTCCTCCCGTCCCCTCACGGAGCGCGGATCTGCGCAGAGCTGCAGACCCGCAGCGGAGCGACGCTCCGGGCGTCTCGGCCTGTTTGTTTATTTGTTTGTTTTCATTTCCTACATGAGAACCAGTGGAATGACTGCAGGCTGCTGCCGGCAGCAGTGCTCAGACGGAGGTGAAGGCGCATCCATGTCATGCCTCTTTTTTGGAGTCTTAAGTCTTATGCCCTCAGAGCCCTTCTACACTGGCGAAATGAGTGCGGTGGAGGTTCAGTCCAGCCAACCTTCACTCGCTGCAAACGGGGCAAATCGCTGTACAGCCTCGAAACCGGGCTAAGCGTTTTCCTCCCGCTGCCTCATACCGACCAGGTGCTTTGAAAGAAAACTCGCACTCCGTCAGGAAGGGAGAGGACACTGCACTCGGGTGGAAGGCGCTGCCCTGTTCTCCAATCTGGAACGCGTTTGTGAAGCCCTCCCGGAGCCGCATCCCCCTCGGCAACCGGTGTGGAGGCGATGGCAGCACCTCTCCGCTCTCCCTCCGTCAGAGACGAAGGTATCTCCCACCCGGGAGTAGACGGGGAGGACGCAGAGCTTCGCCACCCTCGGGGCAAGCACAGAAGCAGGGAAGGAAAAGGGATCCCCGGGGTGTTCTGAAGCCCTCTGCCTACCGCCGGCTGGCTCATGGCAGTGCCCGAGGCCAAGGTCAGCCCCGGGGGAACAGCTCTTCTCCTGCCCCGCTGCCCCAGAGGTATCCCAGCGGCGATGCTGTTCTGGCTGTAGGGAATGGACACCTTTCTTTCCTTTTCCTTCATTAAAAGCAATGTTTGACCACGCGTGGGAAATATACTTCGAAGAGGCAAACGAAAAGTCGCACTTTTCTACCGCCTTTACCCAATTTGCAGTTCGAAGTACATTGCCAAACGTCCAAGCACTCGACACCATGTTTCTTTCTTTTCTTTTTTTTTTCTTTTTTTCTTTTTTTCTTTTTTTCATTTTCCCTATTTTTCTTCCTACTGAAATGAACCCTCCACTTTCAAAGGACCGCGGGTTCACCTCGCAGTCTTCCGCACCAGGCGGCAGTGCGCGGACGAAGCGCTAAGTGCCAGCGCTGCGCGGAGTGCCCTCATTTCAATGTCCATCACTGAGGGTCGGGAGGTGTTGCTGCGACCCTCAGAGCCGTGCGGGTTGGGCTGCACCGCACCGCCAAACGCCGCCGTGTTCTGAGGTTATTTTTCTAAACCGGGCTAAAACCTCCGCTTCCGCAGATCTTTTTTTTTTTTTTTTTCCTTTGTTTTTTTTTTTTTTTTTTCCTTTGAGATTTTAAATTGGAGTTACAATCGCGAGCTCGCATCAAACGTAAGCGCGTTTGGGGGGATCAGGCTGACATTCGTCTAAGCTTATTTTAAAGCCAATGATTTTGTCATCTAATCCAGCAGCAGATCGGTTTGGAGGTGGAAACGAAACGAATAAATCCGACGTTCGGCTGAAGGAGCGCCGCGCATTAACTCCTCTTCCTACAGGTTTGCCGCTGTGCAGCCTCCGTCCCGTACACATATGGATGCAATACATATGGATGCAATACTCCGCGGCGCTCCCGCTGCCCCGCCAGCAAATAACGCACATTTTCACTCACTGCGCTGGATCGGGGCCAAAGGCGCTGCCGATACAAAGTGAGCGTTCTAACAAAGCTCCTTTACGCGACGGGAGCTCGCTGTGACGGCTGCAGCAGGGAAAGTTCTCCTGTGTCCGCGAAGAAAACGCTTAAAAAGCCCCATTTTGGCACGCATTAGCTCGGACAGCCGTGCCCGTCTCTGTCGCGAATCCCGTCCCATTGGGGGAAGGGCCGCACTGCGGGGCGGGACGGTCACAGAGGGATGCGGTGCGCGGGGCCGCGGGGCCGGCTCCCACAGCCGCAACCCTGCGCGGTAAGGTCTGGCATGGGAACCCCAACGTAGGAGCAGCTCCCAGCGCAGGAATACGCAGGACTTCTCGTCCCTGTCCTCTGTCAGCCCTGGGCTGAGTTTCCCCGACGCTCACATCGCCTTTTGACACCTCACGCCGTTTACTTAGGGCGCTCACTCGGTGCCATTCCCCAGTTTCTGGGTAGGAGGGAGAGTTAAACCGTAATAAGATCTGGAAACCTTTGGGATCAATCCCCACCTTTGCTCTTCAAACGTATATAAATTCGTACACACAGTAGTGAAAGCCCGGTAGCTTTTCTGTTTGGGATTCTGCTACAAGAATTACTTAGCGATGTATTACGCGAGTATCGGATTGCCCTCTAACTCAGAGCATTTCCTTTGTGTCTACCGCACTGTTTCCCGGCTCCCCGGGGCGCGTGGTGCCCTCCTGTTATTCAATAGCCATCCTTCAACCTGGAGCGGCCACAACTGCCTGGATTTGCAGTTCTGCCTCCCTTCGGGGGACCTGTCTCCAGCATCGCGCAGGCGGGGGAGAGCGAAAGGGAACGAGCGGGGAGCGGAAATCTGCCAGCTCGCCGCTCACCTCGAGGGTCTGCTCCGGCTTAGGCGGGGACATAGCTGACCCTTGCCCTAAAACACGTCCGCAGAGACGTATTCCAAACCCGACGGCTGCCCCTCTCGTGATGAGGACGGGTCCCCAGGGTCGGAGCGATAGGGGAGCCCCGGAGGGATTGTGTGATGCTCGGGGCGAGCGGCTCTCGAGGCGGGGAGTTCAGGCAAGGAGGAGAGGGGCTGCCTGGCTTCTATCGAGAAGAGTTTCAGCCTCCTATCTGCGCAACCGGGGAACGTTTAAAATGAAAACGTTTAAAAGTTTTTTAAAAATAAGAAAAAAGTAAAACGACGGTTCAAAGAGAAAACCCAATAAATGCCCTCCGGCACATCCGGTCAAGCATATCTCCAACTGTACCCCAGCAGCAGCGGATGTCCCAGGATCCCCTCCCTGCGCCGGAGCAGCCGCGGAGCAGCGGGAAGCCCTAAGAGCACCAGGTGCGAAGGAGAGCCGCCGCGCCGCCGGGAGCTGTGCCGCTATAGGCGAACATTCTCGGTCTTGGGATTAATTAATTCGATTAATTAATCTGTTAACAAAACTCTCTCGAGCACACGCAAAGATTCAGAGTAATAGCAGCAACGAGACTTAAAATGTACATTCACAGACTCATACTCCACAGCTACTTATATAGACCGAAAGCTCAGTTTTCTCCTTATAATTTCTACTGCCTTAGAATGAGGAACAGGTCTCGGCTCCACTATGGAGTCACTTCCTTGTGATTATGTTGTACAGAGCACAGCGTATTGCGGGTCAGTTCTTGAGCAGTGCATCCCTATTCGGTTGGGATATCCGTCATAGAGTTCTACCGTCAGTTTTGGAAACTGCCTAGGGGCCGGGGGAGATAGGGGGTCACAACTGAAGACAGAGCCGTGGATGGGAGAGAAAAGCACTGCTTGTAAGCTCAGTGGATCCTCATGTGCCTTTCTTTCATTTGTTCATTTTTAGAAACATATTTAGATACAAATAAGCAGACAGCCAAGATAGAAGTCCCATGGTATATTTTTCTCCTATAATCAGAAATGCCTTGGCAAAAAATCAGAGCGCAGCAGAAGTCAGAGCACGGGGGAGGCTGTAAGGTTGCTGTCTCCGGGACTATAATTCAGGAACTTAGGAACGTGAAGGTCAGAGTAAAACCGTACAGCGAATTGTGTGATGCGGACTCACGAAGCTCCGAGCTTTCTAGAGCTCTCATTGTCGAGGTGAAAGGAGCCGTCAGGTCAGACTCCTTTCGCTCTCACTTCCCTGAGCCCGAGCGGGCGGCTCCTTTGAGATCTCGGTGAAAATCGCGCATCTTCGGGAAAACCCCGGCCAGAGGCAGCAGGGGGACCTGGCTGGCCCCATTACAGACCTGTAGAAACTATGAGGCCATCTTGGCCAGGACACTTCGGTGAGGGTCCCAAATTTTGCTTAAACTGCGCATCAGGACGCCTAGAAAATAACTGGAAGGGGGCAGGTAAAGCCATCTGTGGAGGTTTTTAAAAACACAGTTCTCCCCCCCTCGGTCCTTTCTCATCCAGTCTAGACAGAACTGGAAGCCGGCTTTATAGCCGGACAATACCTCGGATACGTCTGGCTGCCCCGGGCCTAGCACGCGTGCTGGTGGGGGTCTCGGACCCCTTCCCCCCCCCACTCCCCACAAGAGGCCGTCTGGGAGAAACAAAACCCGCTCAGATCTTCGGGGGCGATGCCGTAGGGCTGCTGCAGAATGCCGGCGGCGGCCTTGGTGGGGGGTGGGGGGGACTACGGCCGTGCCCCTTCGGGGGCGACCCCTGGGGGAGCAAAGGCCAAGGAGGGGAGCCGCTTTATTGCAAGCCCCATTCCCCCGGATATACGCCTACCCCGCCCTGCCTGCGTGCTCGAAGGGGTTCTTTCCTCGCGTTTTGCTCAGCCGGAATTTAAGGTGCGCAGCTGGCAGCCCCTTCTGGTAAAACTCACTGGAAACCGTTCTGGAGAAGGGAAGGAAGCCTCGGGAAGGACAACTGGGGCAGAGCGGCTCCGTGTCCCGTCCGGCGGCCACAGCCCGCCCCGAGAGCCGCACCGCAGCTGCACCCCCTCCCCCTCCTCTCCCCGGGCCCCCACTCTGCCCCGCGGTCCCCGGGCTCTCAGTGCTCAGCACCCGGCTCGGAGCCCGGCGGAACTGCTTCCCCCCCGGCTCTGTCATCCCCGGATTCAAGCCTTTGGTTTTAAAAGTATTTCCACCCGTACTTAAGACGATGAAAGATCAGGAATTCACCCTACGCATTTAAACGTTGCACTTAATAAGCAGAGTGTGCAGAAGCGCACGCCTGGCCTGTTTAAAGCGGACAGACACACCAAGCACGGTCGCGCTGCGGGTATAAACCTGCTCCCGGCTTCTGCCCGTTGCTCTCGAGGAGCAGCAGCTCCTGCGCTGCTCCCTGCCCGCCTAACCCGGAGTGTTCCGGACACGCTCCCTGCCCCGAAATGACGGCGATGCTTTCTTACGGGGAAAAGTCTCCGCACGGGACAAAGGCTCTAAACTGCAGCGCTGCCAGTGCACGCTCTCGAAATTACTGAATTCGATGGGCAGAACGGTAAGAGCTTGACGGGTTGATAGTATACTTTTTCCCCCCCGATTTCACTCTTACCCATCTCTCTTTCCTTCTTCTTCTTCTTTTTTTTAATTTAGTATAAATCTGAACCGTTTTCATAAAGCTCCATAGAAAACGGGAAGGAAAGCAGCCGACCCTCCGCTCCGGAATCTGCCAATTCCACAACCAAGGACAAAGCGAGCAGCAGACCTTTACTCAGCCGCCACCCGACATCACTCAGCACTTCATCTCGAGGTCCCCTCAGCTCGGCCCCACACATCGGACGGCCGAAAGCAGCCCTGGACGCGAGGTCGCTAGCAAAGCCTCTGGGCTCCAACACGGCTCCAGCCGCGGGCAGCGGGGGAACGGCTCGGCCCTGCGCGCTGTCCCCGGCCCAGGAGGAGGCGGCAGCTCCCGTTGCCTTATTCCCACTCAGCCTCCAACTCGAACAGAACAGAACACTCACCATATAGCGTTTGGCTATGCGTTTGGTTTTTTTGGTTGCATGTGTATATATATATATATATATATATATACACATATACATATATATATTTTTTGCCCTGGTCCCTGGTGTCTCCACTGCTCTTGGAGAAGAGCCGAACCGGGTGCCCTCGGCTTTCCCCAGGCCCTCGCCGCCATCGAGGGGACGGAGCGAAGGAGAATGAACGCGGAGCAAAGCGCGCATTTGTGCTCCCGCCGCTCCCGGGATCGGAGCTGCCTCTCCGGGTGCGCACCGCGCAGTGCTTCGGAGCCTCTCCCTCCGCACTGCTCGGCCTTTAGGCCCCGGACGGTCCCCGCAGCCCTCGCCCAGCATCCGGAGCCGGGACCCCCGATGTCCCCTGCTCGCCTCCCGAGGGCGACGCGGACTGCTGTCGGGCTTTACCTTCGGGAAAGACGGCTCGCATCTTTAGATAGCTGGTGGTGAGACGGATGATGGACGCCTTGTCCAGCTGCGAGGTGATGGCCGAGGGCAGCGGCAGGAGCTTGGCCAGTTCGTAGAATTCTCCATTTTCTTTTTCCCGCCTTGTCTTCGCCGCGTTCTTGGATTTTTCCTTCATCACGACGACTGCAAGGCGAAGGTGACACTGGCATATTAGGCCCGGTCCTTCCGAACGACGAGGGGCATGGGCTGCGACCTCGGAGTTAGGGGTTGAGGAAAAGAGGGAGGGAGCTCCCTCAGATTAAACCAGATTTAAAATAATAATAATAAATAAAAAGGGAAGGGGGAAAAAAAAAAAAAAAAAAAAAAAAGGAAAAACGAAAGGGAAAAAAAGAAATAAAAAGCAAAACACTCCAATCAACCAAACAAAAGCCGGGAAGAGGAGAACCCCCAGCTGGGGAGACGGCCCCGCTCCGGCCCCGCGCCTCGGACCGAGCCCGGCGGAACCGCACGGGGCCGGGACCGCTCCGCTATGGGGCGCCGAACGCCGCGCCCCGCTCTCAGGAAGATTTCCTCCGCTCAGTCCTTCCCCATCCAAAAATCATCAGAATGAAATATTACAAGTCCACGCGTGAAATCACAGAGCTAGGCAGGCGGCACCATTTTCGGCTTAAAAAAAAAAAAAAAATTAATAACAGAGAGAGAAAGAGAGAGAGAGAGAGAGAGAGAGAGAAAGAGGAGACCTCTCCGCTCGCTTTACAGAGAGCAGAAAGCTCCGGCCCCGAGGTCCGGGCCCCTCTAAGCGGCGGTCCGAGCGGCTGCGAAGGGAGGAGGCCGCCGCGGAGCCCCGCAGCCCACGGCTCGCATCGCTCCGGGCTCTCCTTCCCGGCGGCCGCCTCAGCGGCGCGGGGCTGACCGGGACGCGGAGCTGTGCCCGATCCCGAAAGCGGTGCTCATGTGGAGTCGGAGAGAAGGGTCCTTTCTTCTCGGGAGCGGTGCCACCGGAGCGATGTCTCTTTCCAAACAAGTCCGAGCGCTGGCAGAGGCGCGGGGTGGGTTTGGTTGGGTCTGTTTCTTTCTTTTCTCCTCTTAAAGAAAAAGAATTTGCAGGATCAGAAATAGTTTCTTTTT